GGGGGCTCCAGGAAAGCTGGGGAGGGACTCTGGATGAGGGAGGGGAGCCCTAGGAGGAGGGGGAAGGGTTGGACCCTGCAAGAGGGGAGATGGAGCTGAGATGTGGGGAAGAACTTGTTTGGTGGGAGGGTGGTGAGAGCCTGGCCCAGGTTGGCCAGAGAAGCTGTGGCTGCCCCATCCCTGGAGGGGTTCAAGGGCAGGTTGGAGGGGGCTTGGAGCAACCTGGGCTGGTGGGAGGTGTCCCTGCCCAGGGCAGGGGGTGGCACTGGGGGGGCTTTAAGGTCCCTTCCAACCCATTCTGTGATTCTATGAAAAAACTCACCAGCATCGGGCATTCATTCAGCATCTGCTTTTCCAGATGTCTCCACTGATGGAGGGGGGGACCCAAGACGGTGCTTGTTGTGTTACCCCCTAATGACTCTGAGTTGCCTCATCTCCAATTATCAGTCTGCCTACAGGTGATGATATTCTGATATGCAAGGGATTACAGCACTTTTTCTCTGTTACTTCATTTAATTTCACCCAGAAAGCAGCCACGGGTGTGTTTTATCCCTCACCGAGGTAATACAGCAAAACCACGTCTCCGAAGAAGCGGAGCGTCGAGAGCAAATAAATTCCATCCACAGCTTAAAGCTCATGTTGAAAAATTTGTGGTAGTTTTCTGTCTCCGTTGGATAAATGATGCTCAGGTTGGGTTTAGTCACCCTGCATCCTGCAGCGGGAACTCGTGTCCCCTGCAGCATCCCTTCCTCAAATGGGTCTGCGAGAGCTGGAGAGGTTGGGAGTAGCCAAAGTGGAACGTAAAATTAAAGCTCCCTAAAGTAAAGTAAGATGCAGTAAAATTGTTGCTCAAAATATAATCCAGCTGGAAACCTGCTCAGAGCTCCCATCCCTTCTGTATTCAGCATGTTCCCAGCACTGAGGTTTTGGTGTCCTCTCACCAAAAATGTGCATTCTAAAGATGTCATTGTATATGCTGTTGACATTAAATAGAGAAAAACTCTCCCACTAATTAATTGCAGGCTAAGTCAGTACTGAGACCCCTTGGAGATGGTTACGAAGAACGTGGTGCTCACAGAGCAGCTGCTGCTGTTGATTCATTATGTTATTTTCTGTTGGAAACCTTTCAGAACCATTCGCTGGGAAGTTACAGGGTGGATTGAATATCAGCGAGATGATTTTCCATTTTTTCCCCCTCTTTTTTAGTTTCCTCTGTTTCCCGTACAGGCTCTTTCTGACTCTGAGGTCTGGTACCTCAGTGGTGGCACGTGGGGCCATGGGACCAAGTGCCAGAGCCAGGTCCTGTGCCCTAGTGCAGGAGGGGATGTTCTTGAATTTAGAATCATAGAATCATTTTGGTTGGAAGGGACCTTTCATATCATGGAGTCCAAGCACCAACCCAGCACTGCCCCAACCCCCACTGCCCCATGTCCCTCAGCACCACCTCTGCCTGGCTTTGAAATCCCTCCAGGGATGGTGACTCCACCACCGCCTCTTCCAAGGGTTCGTTTCCAACAGAAAATAACATAATGAATCAACAGCAGCAGCTGCTCTGTGAGCACCACGTTCTTCGTAACCATCTCCAAGGGGTCTCAGTACTGACTTAGCCTGCAATTAATTAGTGGGAGAGTTTTTCTCTATTTAATGTCAACAGCATATACAATGACATCTTTAGAATGCACATTTTTGGTGAGAGGACACCAAAACCTCAGTGCTGGGAACAGGCTGAATACAGAAGGGATGGGAGCTCTGAGCAGGTTTCCAGCTGGATTATATTTTGAGCTACAATTTTACTGCATCTTACTTTACTTTAGGGAGCTTTAATTTTACGTTCCACTTTGGCTACTCCCAACCTCTCCAGCTCTCGCAGACCCATTTGAGGAAGGGATGCTGCAGGGGACACGAGTTCCCGCTGCAGGATGCAGGGTGACTGAACCCAAACCGAGCATCATTTATCCAACGGAGACAGAAAACTACCACAAATTTTTCAACATGAGCTTTACGCTGTGGATGGAATTTATTTGCTCTCGACGCTCCGCTGCTTCGGAGACGTAGTTTTGCTGTATTACCTCGGTGAGGGATAAAACACACCCATGGCTGCTTTCTGGGTGAAATTAAATGAAGTAACAGAGAAAAAGTGCTGTAATCCCTTGCATATCAGAATATCATCACCTGTAGGCAGACTGATAATTGGAGATGAGGCAACTCAGAGTCATTAGGGGGTAACACAACAAGCACTGTCTTGGGTCCCCCCCTTCATCAATGGAGCCTTTGGGGGAAGAAATTGTTCCCAATATCCAATGTAAATTTATTCTTCATTATGTGAATGGTTTGCTTTGAAACTCCTCCTCTTCCCTATGCATTTGCTTGGCTTGAATGTTACCCATTTGAAAATACAGGTTTTAGAATGGGAAGAAGGGAAGGAAGGTGTTGGTGAGAAAGAAAGAGGTGATGTATCTGTTTTGAGTAGATAAATCATTCTGGGGGCACTTTGGTTTTGCATTTGTGGAGGAAAGATTCAGGGTATATCAATAGCATTGGTCTGGAAACTGAGGTTTCTTGCTGCCAAATGACTTTCAGTGGTACCACTTTTGGAAAACATAAAGAGCTGGTGCCATCTCCTGCCTGTATTTATCCAGAGCTCCATAGATGGAGGTCAACATGAGTGTAAGATGATGAGAAGGAGCCCATCGTTGATGTTCAGCACCTCATAAACACCCCTCACACCGGTGTAGGGGCAGCACCAGCCACAGAGCAGGGAAAAACCAGCCTTGGGTAGTTGAGCTGGAAATTAGACAGAGCCATCTGCATTGGCAAGAGGTTTCTCTGAGTTTGTCCCTGATTAATACATGTCTGTAATGATGCTTGCTACTTTCTGCAGCCCAACACTGGGCTTATCTTTGATTTGTCTTCCTGTGAGGTCTTTGGCTTATGGATTTTGCAGAAGAGTCTTCAGGAGACCCAGGTCAGGCTTTGGAGCCAGTAATTTCCTGGCACACCAAATTACCTGTGGGTTTCAAGTCAAGTTACAGCAGGTATAGCTTAGTATTTGGTAAAGAGACCTCCAAAATTCAAGAAAAATAGATTATCATTTTTCAGTATTACGCAGAGAATGCTGGCATTTAATGTGAGAGCTGATAAGGTAATTTTCCTGCAGCTCTCGGGTCAGTCCTTGGGCAGCCTGTTTTAAGAGAAAGAAGGGCATTTGAATTGCAAATCAGTATTTCATCATTATGAATCAGCGTGGCCAGAAAGAGGGAATGAATGAGAAGCTGCTGCGTGGTGGGTTCGGGGCAGCAGCAATTGCCTCCTTCCCAAATCAATGGCAGCCTTTGTGCTGCCCGGAGCAGCCGGTGGCAGTGACATGTGACACAAAAAACAAAACCCACCCCAACAATCTAAACATTTGCGAAAGGGGTCGATACCGCTCTGCGAAACAGCTCATAAAATACCGGGTGGCAGCGCTAGGGCAGGAGATGGTTTTTGGGTGGTTTTCATGCTTTTCTATTGTCAGCTGGGCTGTTTGCATGCTATCCTGATTATTCCACTATTAATAACTATTATTTGACTATTAATAACCAGATTCATAGAATCATAGAGGGGCTGTTTGTATGCTATCCTGATTATTCCACTATTAATAACTATTATTCGACTATTAATAACCAGGTTCATAGAATCATAGGAGGGAGACAAAATATTCCTCTAAACACGTTTAGCATTTTATTTATTTATCTGGGGTGAAAACCCCAACGTGTTCTTGCATTAATACACGGATTTTCATCCGGCAGGAGAGAGCATCAAACGTGCATATTTTTACCCGTCTGCCGGCGCTTCTGGTTTGTCTCAAGATAGCCCAAAACGTCAGCCGATTGGGGTTTTTTTTTTTCCAGGCTGCTATGCCTGTGCCTTTCGAGGACAGAGAACATTCCCGAGCCGTCAGGGCGACCTGCTGTTGATGGAGGGAATGAAGGTAACGAAGTGCTGAAGGGCCTGGAGTGTTTCAAAGCAGCAGGATAATGCCGGGCGAAGCTGCGCAATAGCTGCATTGTGTAACTTCTCCCCCCACCAAAAAAAAGAAAAAAGAAAAAAATGAGACGTGCTGGGTTTCTAGCAAATGGTTTTGAAGAGTCTGTGCGATTTTTTCACCAAATATTTGGCCTTTCCCTGGTGGAACATCCACATCGGGGCTGCCAGGATGGACCGTAGGGCTCGCAAAGCCATTTTATCCTCTAATTAATAAACATCTTAAATACGTAGATGCGGCACCCAACGGGCAAAGAGCAAAATGAGCAATTTGGTGGGGTTTTTTTGGAGTGCGTAGGAGGAGGAGGCAGGGCACTCAGCAGTGCTCAGGCCCAGAAGTGAAGGCAGAAGCGGGTTCTGATCATAGCCCTGAGAGCTGCAGTCATTGATGTCATGTTGATACTGCAATTGCTAGTCTTTCACTTGGGTCTTTAGTGGGGGATAATTATTCAACTGTCTGAGAAGCTATAGGAGAAGAAAACCGGAGAATGACTTATTATCCTTCCCACCCCGCCACCGTTTGATTACTGCCGTGTTCCCTGCAATTATCCACATCACGTTCAGGATGCTCGAGGAAGGGAAAGGTTGGGAACGTGGAGGGAGAAACCACACAAACGGGCACAGGGAGAGAAAATGCAGAATCTCGGTGCGGTGGGATGGAAAAGAAGTGATTCCACACGAAAACGGCTATTGCCAAATGGGCAGGGAATTAATTTTGTCTTTTTCACCAAGAAGGATGGGAGTGACATTGGCCAACGTGGCAGAGTTGCTATTCGAGAGGGACACGCTGGTGTTTTTCACAGGTTTTAAACCCAATATTTTAATGTACCAGCCTGAGAGCTGGGGAAAAGCTAACAGGGCAGAATACGTAGGGCAAGAGGAGGGCATTAAACAGGAATTTTGTTGAGTCACGTGAAACCCTGAGAGTTTTCAACTTGTTGGGGGCAGTTTGGGTGAGAAGCCAGTGGAGCAACGGGTGGGAGATTTTGGGGGGTGACAGGGGTTTGGTGCTCCCCCAGCCCACGGCGTTGGCACGTCCATCGGGAATGGCCTGGAGGCTTGGGTTAAGCTCATTATGTGAGCTGAATTTCTCTTATTTGACAGTAAATTCCATTTCAGCCTGCCCCGTGAGGGGAGTCGCTTGATTTAACTCTCCCACGAAGGGTTTTTCATTTATGAGAACCACATGAGGTGTCTCAGTGGGTTTGAGATGCTGGGGTTTGCCAGCCTGGCTGCGGGTACCAGGGATGTAGAGAAGAAGCCCGTGATGCTGGGCTTCACTCCACCAAAGAAACAGGGGGCAGAGTCATCTAGAAATTCCCCCCCATCATTAAGAAAGGCCTGAAATATCTTCTGAGCTGAGTTTTTAGCTAAGTCCAAACCAACGTGCCTTTCCAGCGTAATCAACATCACTTCTGAAAATGTGAATTCCCTTTTTTTGAAGCCAGTAACAGCAGAATTGGCGTCTTGACTACCTGTCCTACCAGGGGTGCAATCTGCAGCCTGGGGTTGAAGATGCACGTGTCTCTGTGGTACCTGTGTATTTATCTCCACCCCCTGTATGTTTGTGGGCCTTTTTCGTATATAAGATGCCTAATTCTGTGGTCTGTACTGATTTGAAAGCAAAACTATTCGCCGCTGCCTGTAAAACTGCAAAACAAACTGAGAAAAGTGGGGGTGCAGCACGGCAAACTTGAGGAGCAAACTGCTTGTGTATGGATTATCCACACTCCATCTTCACAGGGAAACTCGCTTTTTTATCATGCTTTTAAGTTGCCCCTACATTTGTATAATTTTTTTTTAGTGTCAATAGAAGAAAATGCAGTTTAATGTTTCATCTGAGGGTTACAGAAGAGAAGCACATGGTTCTTCCAGTGTGGGACTTTAATTAGCTTTGACCGTGTCGGTGTAAACTCTTGGGCTGTGACTTGGCGTGTGGTGACGTTGCCACCCTACCCCTTCCTGGGTATTTTGAAATTGGGTTTGAGATCATAGAACCATGGAATGGTTGGGGTTGGAAGAGACCTTAAAGATCACCTCCTTCCAACCCCCTGTCCTGGGCAAGGACACCTCCCACCACACCAGGTTGCTCCAAGACCCCTCCAACCTGCCCTTGAACCCCTCCAGGGATGGGGCAACCACAGCTTCCCTGGCCAACCTGGGCCAGGCTCTCACCACCCTGGCAGATCTTAATTAATAAACCAGATGCTCACCACCCTTCCCAGTTTGGATTTAATGGCAGGACGGGGTGGTCTGGAGGGTTTCAGGTGTGGATTTATGGGTGCTCCTGGAGCCGTGGTGTGTGATCCCCACTCGGTGCCCCGAGCTGCTGTCCCCATGCTGTCCCCTCCTGCTGTGTTGGGTGCCCTCCTCTCTGCGGGCAGGGAATGTGATGCATCACTTAGGACTGATGAAATGTGTCACCCCATTTATACATCCCCTATGGAAAGCCCATTTAGATGTGTTTGCTTATGCACTTGGTTTCAGTCGGTGATAAAATCCCTTCCTTTCGGTTGTCAAGGTGAAATGTCTCCAGACTTCACCGGGAGGGGGGAAAAAAAAAAAAAAAAGACCAAAAAAAAAAGATCCAATGAAGGAAAAATGTGCTCCTGTGAGTGTCTCCCCAACGGAGGGAAGCGCAGCCTGATTAGTGTGACCCCCCTGTCCTTGTCCCCGCGCTGGGGCGGACGGAGGTGCCGCGGGGCAGGGACGCCTGGAAAGGTCCCCTTTCAGCATTCCCACACGGTGGCTGCTGGAAGCAGCAATCCTCCCGCGTTTAAAGCAGCCCTCCCTTTGTCCCTGGGTCCCCTCCCCTTGTCCCCAGCCCCCGGGGGGGTTGCCGACAGCCCCCCCATCTCTTTGGGGATCTGCTCCCCGCCAGGGCTCGCTGGCTTTTGTCATCCCCCCCCTCCTTCCAGCCACCCCCTGACGTCTTCCCGAGCACTGGGGAGCTGCTGCTGCGCTGGGTTTGATGTTCAGCGGCGGGATTTAGATTGTAAATCTTGTAAAATTCCATTTTATGCAGAAAGAGAGAGAGAGGAGAGAGAGAGAGAGAGAGGCAAAGCTGCTCTCCCTCCCCAGGCTCCGGGTGAAGCGGCGGCTGCGGCCGTACCTGCCGGGAGGATTTTCCTTGGGGGGGGGGCAGAGAGAGCATTTTCTCCAGGCTGGAGGGAGGGCTGGTGGGATCCCATCCAGAAACACAGACCCCTCCCCGAGCCACCGGGGTTTGGCTCAGCCCTGCAGGATGACCCCTGGCAGGGAGCTCCCAGCCCTCCCCGAACCTCCCTCTTTCTTCTAGTTTGGTGGGATGGATAAACCAGGCCTTTGGGCGTAGGGACCTGCTCCCTCCTTGGCTGTGACCCACCACCCTCCACGCCTGGAGAGGCACCTGGGTGTCCCCCCATTTCCCCCTGGAGCCGCCTGCACCCCTTGTCCCCCCTGGAACCTCATCCCTGGCACCCCCCGGTGCGGAGCGGGTGGCGCAGGAGGGACCCAGGAGAGGAGTTTTTCTGCAGCCTCAGAAAACTTTTGATGCATCTGAGAAGGTGGTGAAGGAAGGAGGGACATGACCTGGAGAGGATAAACAGGAAAAATGGGGAGGTTTCTCCAGTTTGGAAAAGGTTTGCTTCTTTTTCCCCCTCCCCTGTCTCAGGCTCACTGGAAGGGATTATACAAATAAGAGCAGGAAACTGCAGTCAGGGCTTTGCCAGGAATAGATTTTTTTTTTTTTTAATTTTTTTTATCTTCTGATATAAATGAAGAAATATGGGAGTCCGTAGAGGCTGTTCCACAGGCACCCTCACATTTTGATTGCCAAGTCATTTGCATCCGTCTATAAAGTGACATCCACCCTGCGATGGGAGTTGACAAGTAATCACAAAGAATAAAAACTCCTGGAAACATCTCCGTGCCACCGATACAACTTCAGGAGGAGACAAGTTGGGGGATAAGCGCAAAATGTACTGAACGTTTTCGGACGAGTAGAAGAGAAGTGTCGTCTTGGAAGATGTTAAATATTAATTTTTTACCTAATCGCCGTCATTCGTGGATTTGGTGAGTATGACTTGGGTTTGTCCGGATCAGAGAGGTTCTGGTGGGCAGGAGAGCTGGGCAGGGTGCCCTTGTACATTTGTGAAAAGCAGGAGAGAAGCCTTGATAAGGCTGTGCGTGTCCCTCGAGCTGTAAAACTGTCACGGTGCTTGCTGAATGTCTGCTTTTCCTCCATCTTTCCCCACGAGATTTTGATCTCCCAACGCACCCTCACGGTGCCCAGTAATTCGGGGAGGGCAGGGGGTGGGAAGAGGATGGAGGATTTTGTGTTGTGCTTTGTTATTTTCGCTCTCAGCTGTGTCTGGACATACATTTTCATTTTAAAAAGTGATGAGTCGCTAAAAAGTCTTTTCATTTGGGTGATTTTCATGGTGGTACCTCTGTACCTCCTTGAGTCTGTTTCCAACTTCTGTTGGATTTTAATAAGCTGGTGGAGGTGCTGCTGCTCTGATCTTGAGGTGTCAGGGCAGAGGGAGACGTGAGGGACCTTCAGAGCCGTGTCCCACCACAGGTCCCCTCCGATAGACGGCACCGAAACACCTTCCCTTTGGACAGGTCAAGGTCCACCGTTGGGTTTAGGGTGTGAAGTCATTGGATGGTGTCTATGTACATAGTCTATGTAGTCTGTATGTTGTAAGAATATAAAATACGGAGGAGAATTGATACTCTAAATATTCTAATACTGTATTCTTTAATCTTACCTATACACATACATATTCTGGGTTTATACAGAATTTATTCTATGTAATCTTATTATTGCTGATAATAGTTTAACTGTGGCTTCCTCTGCATTAGGCTCTGAGATGAACTTCTAGCTCAGTATTTGTGTATATTAATAAAAAGACCAGGGCTCTGAGCCTTTGAACTGGGCTGTGAAGCTTCACAGTCAGTTTTCCTTCTCCGGAGCGCGGAGTCTGCTCCTCGAGAGAAGCCCTGTGTGGTGTTTCAGGGACAGGAGAATGGAAAAGTAAATATTTAGAGAAAAGGAAAAGCACATTATTATATTATCAGAAGACCTGTGGTTAAAGCAGACGTTAAGAAAGGAAGAAACGGGGGGGGCCCTATAAACAAGGAGGCAGCGAGAAGGGGAAGGAAGGAGGGTCCCACCAGTTGCTTGAGTTCTCCATGCGAGGAGCCGCGTGTCCTCCCTTCCCAAGGACTGGTTCACATCAATGTGAGGTTTTCTTAATTAAAAAACCCAATGGTATCTGTTGTTACGTTGCATAAACTGTGTCTTTTGCGCTCAGAGAGGCGTGGATGGATGGATTGATGGATGGATGGATGGATGGATGGATGGATGGATGGATGGCTGTGATGGAAAGGGTTGCTCTCTGCTGTCTCTCCATCCACACCCTGGATGGATGGGGAGGTGGGTGTCCCTCCGGCTGCCGGCCATGCCTAAACCCACATTAGCCCATATTAGACCTGTCTTGAAGTAATTACCATGGCTTCCCCTTGACTTTTCAACAGGGGGAGTTGTTGGTTGGATTTAAGAAGTTCCTCTTGAGGAGGAACCTTGGTGAGCTACGACAGAGGAATATTGGATCGGGAGGAGAGGGGTAGGAAGCGTTGATCAATTGGTCAGAATTACAAATGGGAGGAAGAGGAGAGACCACCTGCGTTAGTTATGGATGGTGACAACAGCTGTGGGGGGCAGAGGGTGTCAGGGAAACAAGTGTTTCTGTTGGAGAAAGGAGAAAGACGTTTCTGGAGTTTGAAGAGCAAAATAAGTAATTTCAGCTCTGGGAAGCGTAGAACCAAAATAAATGCTCAACAGCTCTGTAATCCCCAGAGGGAGGGGTGTCAGAGATGGGTCCTGGAGACAAGTGGGGCCATCGGAGCCGACCTTATTAATCAGTGAAGTTTTGGGTAATTTAAAACTGTAGGGCTCAAAGAGAGCCTGTCGGGGTATGGATTTATGGGTTACCCTATAAAATTCACTTAACCTGTGCAGAGGTGGAAATGAGAAGCTGTGGCTGCCCCATCCCTGGAGGGGTTCAAGGGCAGGTTGGAGGAGGCTTGGAGCAACCTGGTGTGGTGGGAGGTGTCCCTGGCCAGGGCAGGGGGTGGCACTGGGGGGGCTTTAAGGTCCTTTCCAACCCAAACCACGCTGTTATTCTATGAGACAATGAAGTGGTGGCACAAAACCCCAGGTATCTGCTTCTGGGTGACAACACTGGGATGTCCTTGAGGTGCTCCACAACCTGCAGAGGCAGATGGCAGATGCTTTTGGCCTATCTTTGGCCAGTACTGAAAAATATTCTTATTTCTGATAGGAGTGATAACCACAGGATACAAACCAGCCATCCTGCCCTTAACTCTTCCAACTCCATTCAAGCGGAGATGTTTGCAGTTGGATGTGATGCTGGAAGTATTTTCCATCATGTGCTACCCTATAAACTGACTGTGATTTTTAAATTGACTTTTGAACTCCTGAAGTTTTGGTCTGGGAGTTAATAATTCTCTCCCAATATTGCGGGTCAAAATCTGCTCTGCCTTCACGTTGTCTTGCTTTTCTGGGGTGGCTTAGCTGTAACTTCAGACACGCTTAAACCATTTCGGGTTGTCTCCATGTATTAATTCCGTAGCCTTCTATAAATAGGCGGTATCTCTAACAAAGCAGTGATTTGTATGCGGAGGGTAGGCTTGAGAGACATAACTCAGAAATCTGTAGGCACAATTTAGAGAGAGAAAGCCAAATATTTCTCTTGTGCTCACAAATGGCTGTAGGAAGCGTAAAGAATACGCTGTGGAAACGTGTCTGGAGCGGAGACAATGCCTGCCTGGAAAGGGGGTTTTGAACAATAGATTAATGGGGGTTTAATTGGGGCTGAGCACGGCAGCGTTGGCTTTCACTGGGTGCAGAGCTGGGTACGGAGCGAGGCCGGTGGAGGAACGGGACCTGGCATTTAGTGACCTTTCCCTTCTCTTCACGCTGTGCCTTTTCCAGTTGCTCCTGGCTGTGTTTTCACACTGGCCTTGCGAGGCAGAAGATAAGAGTTATGGCTTTTGAGGCTGCTCCTGTCGCACTTACATTATCATATTTACATTAATTACCTGAACTTCCAGTGAAATAATTTACATAACTTTCTGTGGATGCAAAACTTCTTAGCCCAGTCCATGTCTGTCTCTATCCATCCTGCACATGAAGTTATTTTTTGAGTCTTTTCCTCCTCCTCCTTGTTGACTTATCTCAGTCCTGGCTTGATGCTGTGTGGGTCCCATCGATGGACCGGGGTGAAGCCTGGATGGAGGAGCTGCCTTTGGTGGCTCAGCAGATGCTGCTCCCCAGCCTGGCTTTGGTGGGGCTCCAGAGAACACCTTTTGCTTTAGGTGGTATCCAGGGATGACCAGGACATGCCAACTTTCTCATATGAGTTAGGTTCTCCTTGAATGCTTTCAGAGGGGAAGGCAGTGGTCTTCACTGTGAGGGTGGTGGAGCACTGGAACAGGTTGCCCAGGGAGGTGGTTGAGGCCCCTTCCCTGGAGATATTCAAGGAGAGGCTCGACGAGGCCCTGGGCAACCTGGTCTAGTTGGGGGTGTCCCTGCTGACTGTGGGGAGGTCGGACTAGATGGCCTTTGGAGGTCCCTTCCGGCCTGGGCAATTCTATGATTCTATGATTCTATGATTCATCCTGATGAAGGTGGAGACCATTGGGTGCTCCACAGGCTTCCCAGTTCTTCAACCTCTAAGCAGACTTCTGTGTCTCTGATTTTCATCCTTCCCTCATCACCAGTGCATACAATCTTGAGAGATCATTTTTAATAGTGCTAAAGGGAGTTAAGATAATTTTATTTCTTATTACACGATCGCCCCCTCTTCCCTGCTACTGTGGCCATGTCCTGAGACATCGTCCTGGCCATCACCACATTTCCACCACGGATACCTGTTCCTCCCACCACCTCCCCATCATGTGCTCTGTGGTGGCTTAGGAGGTGGTGTCTCATTCTTCAGACAGGTCCCGTGCTGTTCCATGCTCACGCAGATGGATTTAATATCTCAGATGAGAAGGGCTGGGTGAATTGGGACACTTCCTTCCCAAACCAAAGCTGCTGTGAAATGGGTACATGTGGCTTCACGGCAACACGGCAGTAATTCATCCAGATCAAATACCACGGGGTGGTTTCTTGTTGAGCTTGTTTTCATGTTTAACAGTCAGATTGATGGTATTAACACATTTTCATATGCTTTCCTTAAAGAAAAAAAAAAAAACTAAAAAGCTGCAGTTAAAGGCTTGCAGTCATTTTTTTTTTTTCTGGAATTTATAGTGAGAGCGACATAAAAAAGCAACAGAACCATACAAGAGAAAAGGGGGGGGAATATATCCTGTAAAATTATCATTAAATCCCTTTATAAGCCAAGCATCGATTTTGTAACTTTGGAATTTTATATTTTTCTTCCAAAAAAAAAAAAATTTAAAAATATTAAACTTCCAGAATTTAGCAAAGAGCTTTAGCGCTTTAATACATTTGCCATCTGCAGTTTTTAATACCTGTTTTCATTGTTCGTCGTAGTGAGCACACAGGAAAAAAAAAAGGAAAAAAAAGAAAGATCTTCCCGTGGTGGCGGGGGGGGGGGGGGGTTGTAAAAGGCAGCTCCGTGGTTGCTGGGGGGAGCGTGATGGATGGAGCCCCCCGCGCCGTGGCCCTGATTCCCGGGGCTCTGATTTCGCCGGCCCATTGACGTCACCGGGAGGTTTCAAACCAGCCCCGCTCTGTCTTGTTAAACTTGCAGAGAAATGAAATCGTGACAACACCACCAAAAAAAAAAAAAAGCAAAAAAAACCAAAAAAAAAACCCCACCAGAAAAGCTGGTTCCTCGCCCAGCAGTCGCGGGCGCTGCTGGGGTCTCTTTGAGCATTAGGAATCCTTCTCTTTTTAAGAATTGTTATTATTATTTTTAACCTTTTTGTACCTAAATGCAGAGAAGTGGTTTTAAGGAAGCAGGGGCAGCGTCACAAAGCAGTTCTAAAGATGCAAACGAGGGCCCTGGGGTAAAAGA